TCGGGTCCTACTGTCGTGATTGGAGGTGGCGAAGAACCAGAGTGGCAGCAGGATATCGGCAGGCGCATGGTGGATGAATACATTTTAATGAACCGAACTTACTGCCACAGAGGGAAAATAGGAATCTGGGAGACAACAACAACAGCGATGTCCTGAAAAACAGGAAAGCAGGATTCACAGCGTAACAGCTGGAGAAACAGACGACCCAACAATGAGGAAACAGAAAACATGGACTCAAATACAACGGAGTCTCACTACATGTGACGTGAACGAATCACTCATTGGCAATGGGACCAGGAGAAATAAGAATGTTTTCATTGAAGTAGGTCTGGCAAAATATACAAAACAATACCACAATGAAGCGTAAGGGCCTGGAATATGCTTCAGGGATCAGGGGAACAGCGCTAGGCTGGTTTAAGTCTTATGTGTGATTCCAGTTTGTTCATGTAAATGATAAATCTTTCTGGAGAGCGGCAATGTCCGAGCTTCTGCTGGCAACAACTTAATGCTCACCCTCTACCGATGATCCACATGGCCCTGTCTTTCAGTGTTTAACCCTTTCTCTCTCCTAGACATGGCGATTGACTGAGCTTTTACTGTGACTAACTCTATGTGCTCTCTTCAGACTCTAACCTTGAAAACTCAGTTCTTTGTTTCTAGGTGAAATGACTAAAGGAGCTACATCCATTAACATTTACTTTTCCTTTCCATTGAAAGGACTCCTGGATCAGTGCTTCTTTGTTCTCTTTGTGTCTCTGCTCTGTTCTCTCTAACCCCAAGTCGGTCGTGGCAGATGGCCGCTCTCACTGAGCCTGGTTCTGCTGGAGGTTTCTTCCTGTTAAAAGGGAGTTTTTCCTCTCCACTGTCGCTACATGCTCATGCGGGAGGAGGGAATGCTGCAAGTCACTGACTGGATGCAATCTGCTGGGTTTCCTTAGACAGAAAAACCGTTTATCCAATTTGAATAAATAACTGAATCTGACTGCAATGTTCAATGGTTAGTATTAATTGGAATGTATGTACCTGACTTTTGTGAAGTGCCTTGAGACAACATGTGTTGTGAATTGGCGCTATATAAATAAAACTGAATTGAATTGAATTGAATTGAAACACTGTCCGTTTGGTTCGGAAATTTATTGATGGTCCGTAAGCAAAACACCGTCTGCAGGAAGACGGAGGAGGCAGAGAGCAGCTGCCCATAATCAGACTGCCTGCATCGGATCAGACAGGAGGAAGTACCCACTGAACTAACTTCACTGTGGCCAAAGGTCCGCCGTTCTGCACTTTAAAGACCTTTTCCTCATTATTGCCATGGCTGAGACACAAACCTTCCTTACAAAGCCAAAAATTGTATCTTCTTCATGCAAACTTTCTACTTCTCCTACCACAGCCCTCTCACATCAGAAACTCTGGGCCTTATTTTATAAGCTCTAAGCTGTAAGCTGGGCTATGATCCAGATAATTATCCCAGTGGATCATTTTATACTTGAAAAATACATATAAGAGACATTACTGCATATACAAAAATACAAACATTATTAGCATTTTGTTCATTTAAGTTTTAACTTCCTTGTATTTATATTTTTTTTTCTTATCATTTCACACAGATTACTTTAATATGACAGTGTCACACAGTAACGTTATTAGTGGATCAGCGCTCCATGGCTGGAGGCGCGGCTTCAAGCCATAGCTCCAGCCGTTAGTGGGTCAATGGAAACACAACATGTGCTGTGCCAAGATGAGAGTGGAGCGGACCAGCGCCACCTGAATGGAGCCAGTGGAGAGGGGCATTGGACTCATCGCTAACTCTCATAGATAACAATGTTACACAGCAATGTAGTGCTGATAGTTCTTTCACTGAAGCAAAGATAAAAATAAGTCACCCCAACCTTTAAGAAAGTTTGTTGAAGGGACATAAAATAAGCCGTTTACACAACTCATCACTCCAGGGTTGAAACTGATGTCTAAGGAGGAAGAAGATACAATTTTACAAACCAACGGGTAATTAATTTACGAGTGTTATTGTACAACGGTGTAACAGCAAACCACTATTTTAAAAGCAAGGTTAATATAAAATAGACATTTTTGTTTATCTCACTGTGTTGTTTTCATCTGCACACTGGATATCTATACAAAGAGCATAAGGTTTTTAGGCCTTTAACCTGTGTAGCACAAACACATTTTTACAAAACAAGATGCATCAATACAACTTTTCAACATAATTTAATGGATTAATTATGTGATTGACTAATAATTTACCCTTACCTATAACCTATACGTGGTTAATTTATTTCAGTTGCCTATATATAGATGCATTACTGTTAATATTAAGAACAGTTGAGGCACACTTAAACTGTGACATGGAGAAAGTTGTGCCTGGTTTCCTTTCACTATAGAGGGCTGTGTGCTGGGCAGAAGGAAAGAGACAGATTATTAGCTTTTTCTGCTTGCTTGGCTGCTGGGCTGGTATGTGACATGACATATACAGAGGATATTTACAGGTCATTTTGTGCTGATAGCAACTTTTACAGGAAACCTCTTGGAGAACAATAAGCTTGCTATAAAAGAGAGAAAATCACAAATAGGACAAGAACCACTAGAGAAACAACATTTCACTTTTATGGAGCCATAATGAACCCTGTGATAACTGCACAATTAACTCTGAGCTTGTTGTTGCTCCCTCTTTAAAATGCACTGTGTTTATTTCTTATATGCTGTTTTTCTCCCAGCAGTAAGGGGCCTGTTAATGGTTTTGAGTGAATGTGTAAAATGAATGGTGACCTGTTGGCCTCACCTTAGCTACCACACAGTAGCTTGACATAATAAGCAGTTAGTCACACCTCGGTGCCCTTTTTCATTCACTCTCCCCTACTGTATTTTGACCTCTGGATGGTATGGCCTGTGGCACCTGGCAGAAAGCTGCTGACTGACAGCAAGATTCATTGTTGTCCATAATAATTAGTTTACCTCTGGCCAGTGTGATACCCGAGGGACAAAGGATAATGTTTATATCAGTGATTTATATAATGCACATTCACACATAAATGGAGGAGACGATGTGACACTCTGCCCCATCATCCCGCGCAGCCGTCTAGACAGGTTTACCAGACGTTTTCATGAGATGCATCAAGAAACTGCTGTAAGCAAGACGCGTCACCCTGACAGCACTTCAAAAATAAACCCCACAGTCACATAGATGGTTATATTTATTTATTTGTTTGTTTCAGTTTTATGTTTAGGCACTTGTAACATCACTAACTGAATCAGACTCCCACATAAATATGGGAGAAACACCACAGAGAAAGCTTAGATGTAATTTAAACCTAAAGGAACTTAGTCCATGAACTTGTCTGTGCATTCTTATAATATTAATCACACTTCGAGAATTTAAACTTGTTTATATGAATTTTAAATGGCCTATTTTAGTATATATGTGGTGTCCAGGATGCAGATCCTTCTCATTCCTTTTTAATAAGCTGAAGAACAGCCATTAATGCTATGCTGGTCTGTGGTAATCCTGCTTGTTGTGATGCTTCAGATGGTAAATAATCAGAATGAGATGTACATAATCAGTTGCTGTGCGAGTTCTAATATGAGTGGAAATCCAAAACAATGCTGCCTAATTAATGAAGCATGTGCTGCTTTAGCAGTTTGACAGAAATCAAAATGTTCTTTGAACCCACAGAACATTGTTCATTTTCTTATTCTATGCTAGAATGTATAAAAATGTATTTCGCGAATTAGGTGCCATGATATAAAAAAGTATAATTTCAGCAGAATGATAATCATTATGGTTTAATACTAACAAGGTATAAAATCCCTTTGAACACAAAGCAAAGCTGAATGAAAGAATAACATGTGTGTATCTCTAAATTATTACCAATATATTTCCACACTTTTTGGCTAGCATTCCGAATATTTGTAGGTATACAAAGATAATTTGTCTTGGACAATCTGGACAATTTCAAGTAAATTTTAGATAATTTACTTACAATGTAAGAACAAACTAAGTTACATGGGTTTCACCAGTTTTTAGGTGTAAATACTAAGGCTCCCTTTACATCGAACTGAGACAGCACCACAAGACGGAAAATCAGCCAGAATGGAGATGGATTCTGCAGAGTCTTCTGTGGTATTCATCAAGAATGCAGTGCTTGTGCATTACCGTACAATACTACATTAATTTTGAACTACTTTAAAAGCAGCAAGGCTTTTAAAAACAAACACAGTTCAGATAACAAAAGTTAAAATAAAAACACTCAAATAGAAAATTTATTACAGCTAATTTAAAAAACAGAATGTAAGTTACAACATTTCACGTGGTGGAAGACAAAACTTCCTCAGCTATTTTTAACAATGCCCAAAACATCCTTAACAAGATAATGGTTTTTCAGTAGCAGTTGCATATCTGGATGGTTGGCGATGCCTTGTAGCAGAGGCTGCAACTTATGTTGCATTCAATTAGTCTCGGATGATGGAGCTCGGAGCTGGATATAATACCACAGCCGAGTTGAGCTCGTTTTGCTTGCAAGTCAGAAAATAAAGGCATTTGCTATTTGTTTTGGTGCTGACTACTGCTAGCAATGCAAGCTAAGAAAATATTTATATCCATTTTTGTTATAATGTCATCGCCAATCAGATAGCAATGTAAAAACTTTGTGTGCCCTTTAGGGCAGGATCAAGCTGTCTGCTAAGCATGTCACCTGATCAGGCCTGTGCTTTACCATCAATACTGAAATCTCATGTGACGATGTGTCTACACATCCAACACTGCATGCAATCAATGAAGGAGCATTTTAGACATGAATATTGGTTTCAAGACGTTGGACTCAAACTTATTAGAAATTGTTCATGTAAATATATCCAAATCATTAGCATAGTTATTATCTTTTTTAAAGATATTTTTTCAGCACTAGTCGCCTTTATTTTTATTTATTTATTTTTTTGACAGTAGGCAGACTGGAAAGAGGGCTAGAGAGAGCGGGAGACATTCGGCAAACATCGCTGGGTCCGGGACTCGAACCCGGGACCGCTGCTTCGAGGACTGTAGCCTCTCTACATGGTCGTGCACTTAACCCCTACACCATCAACGCTGCGTCCGCACAGTTATTATATTTTAATCATTAAAGCTTATGTCTTATTAGCTGTTGTTCTGCCAAAACATAATCATGATTTTCTTAGCGTATCACATCCAACTCGTAGAGCTTTTAAAGTGATCATAATGAAAAATTATTACTTAATAGCCTTGTTTGCCAGTCAGCAATAACAGAAATAGATATGAACGAGTGTTGGTTTATGAAAAAATTTGTTGTATTCAGTTACTGCAAGTGTGAACAAAGAAAACAGGAGCAAGCTTTACAAATGTAGATAAGCTGACAAAGATCAGATTGCAAATGCAATGTAAAGATGCAATCAGAATGCTAAGTGCTAAATGAGATTATCTTGCTACACCGGACAAATTATTTAAGAGGACTGTATCTCATAAAATATTGAAAATTAAATATGAATTAGTTCTTATGAAAATGTGGCTATAAATTTTTAAGTGAGGAACACTAAAAATTAAATATAAAATTTTATATCTAGAATAACATCAGATGCAAATTTCACTGTAGAGAAAAAGTACTGAATGGTTTCAAGGGTGCTTTTTTAAAGAAATTAATTCGCAACACAACAACCTTAACCTTTAACCTTGGACTGTGTCCAATTGATAATTTTTAATGTCTTTTCTTCCACACTGTTACAATTTCTACACTGCTGCACGATATGATGTCATTGTGATTCCCCTCTGACCCTCCCCGCTGTGTAACTTCATATTGTGAGAGGAAGGAGGAGGACAAGAAAGTGGAATAGAGCATGCACACTATAATAAAAGTCCCATATGGATATGCAGAGAGCAGATACCTCTGCTGTCAAGATTGGTGTAATCAGCGTATTCATAAACTGACAATAGAGCAACAATAGAAGCAGCCACCTGAACCGCTAGACGTGGAAGAAGTTCAACTCCTTAATTTTCGAGGACAAAGCAGCCATTTATGCCTTGTTCTATGGAGGGTGAATCTGACTTAAGCAACGAGACACTACCTAAATTCAATTTTGGATATTGTACTTCAAATGAAGTTACTCTGAACCGAACTAATTTAAAAACGCGGCTGTGCTTTTGCCATTATGCACGGTATAAACAGGGCTTATGTCAAACTGTAAAAATATTAACATGCGAAGGAGAAGATTTTTCCAATCTACGTTTTAATTGTTTTTTTTTCATGCAGGCACTAGGAAGGGATGATTACAGGGTTGGTTTCATTCTGACAAGGAGCTGTGAGTGGAGGAAACAGGAATGAGAATGTCAGGAAATGGTGACAGCTTTGGCTTTTGATCAGAGGAACTCAGAGTGGCACTTCGTGGCCAGCTGATGATGTGTGAGTGGAGTGACAGGAAGGGATCCATGCATACAGAAACAGCAGGGAGAGGCATTGTCACATCTGTTACTCACAGCCCTCCACATCGAGACATTCACCAGCTGTACTCTGGTGCATGCATACACAGTCAACATCACTTCCTGCAAGACATTTATTCATAAACCATGTTGCAGCTATAAACATGACTTATAATGTTAAATAATGTGAGGTTTCAAGGTTGAATATTTTATAAAGATGTTTCTTAATGAAAATATACAGAGGATTAAAATAGGAATTCAGGAAATGTCATTTCACTTGTTTTGTTTACTGGCTCACAGGTGCTGCTTAAAAAAAAAAAAAAAAACAGCTCCACACAGTTTTCAGTTGTTTGGATATGCATCAGTTTTGCTGCCAGTTTCTGTTGTGTCTGTTTCTGCACCACATGTTCCAATGACGCCCAAAAGCAAATTTTGGTCAAACACAATCACTGTCACGCTTCATAAAAGCCGGAGCAGGGGTCTCTGCAACCTGCAACTAGTGAGCTGACTGACACAACAAGCCCATTCTCACCTGAGAGCCAGCTGAGATAAACAATTTTCCCCTATGCAATTGTACCCATGAGCAGCAATTTTGTCCCTGTCTACTTTCATTTTATTTAAACAACAAACCATTATGCACCCAGATGCTGGAAGTGTTTTCATCAATTAGAAAGAAAATTACCTTTTATATTACTGTACATTGTATTACTGCCCTAAGATGACAGGATAAAGGATAAAGGATAAAGGAGTGGTATTGCAGGTGGGGACCACAGACCACTTCTCAGTACCTTTGCTTTCTGGCTGATGTTTTGGTCACTTTTGAATGTTGGTGGTGCTTTCACACTCGTGGTAGCATGAGATAGAGGTAGCCTGACTGCCATTAGGTACCGAGATGAGATCCTCAGACCCCTTGTGAGACCATATGCTGGTGCAGTTGGCCCTGGGTTCCTCCTAATGCAGGACAATAGTAGACCTCATGTGGCTGGAATGTGTCAGCAGTTCCTGCAAGATGAAGACATTGAAGCTATGGACTGGCCCGCCCGTTCCCCAGACCTGAATCCGACTGAGCACATCTGGGACATCATGTCTCGCTCCATCCACCAACATCACATTGCACCACAGACTGTCCAGGAGTTGGCGGATGCTTTAGTCCAGGTCTTGGGAGGATATCCGTCAGGAGACCATCCGCCATCTCATCAGGAGCATGCCCAGGCGTTGTAGGGAGGTCATACAGGCACGTGGAGGCCACACACAATGCTGAGCCTGATTTTGACTTGTTTTAACGAAATTGCATCAAAGTTGGATCAGCCTGTAGTGTGTTTTTTCACTTTAATTTTGTGTGTGACTCCAAATCCAGGCCTCCATTGGTTAATAAATTTAATTTCTATTGATGATTTTTGTGTGATTTTGTTGTCAGCACATTCAACTTTGTACAGAACAAAGTATTCAATGAAAATATTTCGTTCATTCAGATCTAGGATGTGTTATTTGAGTGTTATTTTTTTGTACAGTCCATACTAGTAAATATTGCTATTATTTGCTGCTACATTAAATAAATGTGCCATTTTCTTGAATGTGGGGTCACCAGCATTTGGATTGGCTGAGCGCTTGCTTCTCCCTGGGCTATCGTTGCAGTGGCAGTGAATGCCGGGGGAGTTTGTCCCATATTGGTGTGGGGTCGGGGGTTCCATTGTGGGCGTGGTGCTCGGTGGTGTGTGCCCTGTTGCGCCTGTGGGTGGGGGCTGGGGTAGTGTTGCGCTGGGCCCTTGCCTTGTCGTCGCGGCGCACTGTGTGGTGGGGGCAAGATGTGGCGGGGTTAGGTTGGAATGGGGCTAGCAAATACGTATTCGGCTTTTCCTTCTAAGTATATAGTGTTTAGATTTATACTGTATCTTGCCTATAGTTTGTATTTATATATATAATATTATATTATATATATATATATATATATATTTTTTTTTTTTTTTTTTAAAGCATTTCACAGTCTGTAAATATTGAAATAAAATTATGTACTACAATTATGAACATCTTGGTACACCCAGATTTCTCTCAACAGTTCATCTTGGAGGTCAACGCTTCTGACATTGGTGTGGGTGCTGTCCTGTCCCAGAACTCTGAGGATGGGAGACTTCATCCGTGTGCTTTCTTTGGCCGCAGATTCAGCAGCGCTGAGAGAAATTACGATGTGGGGGACCGAGAACTATTAGGCGTAAAACTATCCCTCGAGACGTGGCGCCATTGGCTAGAGGGGGCCGAGCATCCTATCCAAGTCTGGACAGACTATAAGAACCTGGCTTACCTTCAATCTGCCAAAAGACTTAATCCTCATCAGTCTTGATTGTCCTTATTCTTCTCTCGTTTCGATTTATGTATTTCTTTCAGACCCAGATCGAAGAACGCCAAACCTGATGCCCTCTGTAAACAGTTTGCTACTGATGACTTGGTGAAGGAGCCAGCTCCCCTTCTGCCGCCCAGCTGGACGATAGGGGCACTCAGGTGGGAGATGGAGGACACCATTCTTAGGGCACAACAACAGGACCCAGATCCTGGCACTGGACCCACCAACCGTATTTATGTTCCATCCCAAGTTCATTTTAAGCTTATTAACTGCCTTCATACGGCTAGGTTATCGGCTCATCCAGGAGTTAGCAGAACTATAGCTTTGATTCAGAGGAGGTTTTGGTGGCCATTCCTACATAAGGATGTAAGGGAGTTTGTTCAGGCATGTACCACATGTGCAAGAAACAAGTCTAGTAACCAACCACCGGCAGGTCTTCTCCAACCCCTCAATAGTCCTAGCCGGCCTTGGTCCCACATTGCACTGGATTTTGTTATCGGACTACCACTTTCATCAGGTATGACAACCATTCTTACGATTGTAGACCGGTTCTCTAAGTATTGTCATCTCATCCCACTCAGGAAACTCCTGTCAGCTCTGCAAACCGCCAAATTACTCACCAAGCATATTTTCCGTTTACATGGCATACCCCAAGATATTTTGTCGGATCGAGGTCCACAGTTCATCTCCCAGGTCTGGAAACAGTTTTGTTCATTTCTTGGAGCGAAGGTTTCATTGACTTCTGGTTACCACCCTCAGTCCAACGGCCAAACCGAACAATTAAATCAACAGCTGGAATCCACACTACGATGTCTAACATCTACAAACCCCACTGATTGGTGCTCCCATTTACCATGGGTGGAATATGCACTGAACTCGCATATATCTTCTGCTACAGGTCGGTCCCTGTTTGAGGTTGCCCTTGGTTACCAGCCTCCCTTGTTTTCAGGTGACGAGAAGGACATCACTGTTTCCTTGGTCCATCAGCATGTCCGTCGCTGTAAATCTGTCTGGTCTTCAACCATCCAAGCTCTTCAGCGGACTGCCGAGCAAAATAAGCACTTCGCGGACCGGGAACGCCGACCTGCACCTACATACCAACCTGGACAGAAGGTCTGGTTGTCGGCGCATGATGTTCCCCTGAAGTCCATGTCCCGAAAGCTGTCGCCTCGTTTCATCGGACCCTATGAAATAGAGACTGTGGTCAGTCCCACTCCAGTTCGCCTTCGTTTACCCGCTACTCTTTGCATACACCTACGTTTCATGTGTCCCAAGTAAAGCCTGTGATCACTACTGCTACTACACACTACTACTGTGTGTGT